TATTGATTATGAAATCTGACTTAAAACAGATACTGACAGATAATCCATGCTTATGATCAACTAATCTTAGTCGAATACAAAGCATGTTAATAGATTTAAAATCATTATGTAGTGAGATTAATGCTGTATTGATCCGATAGTTTATACATCTAAAAATTCCAGAACTAAAAATAGCCTGTAATTCGATTACATAATTTCCTACGGTTCAGAGACAAACAAGACGTGATGTACGACTGTTTTCCTTCAAGCATACAATATGAAATTGTTTTTATAAGAAATTGTTTATGTCTAAGATTTAAGATATTCATTAACCTGATTTATAAATCACACACTGTAATTATAGTGTGCGTTTAATTAAGACTAATTTGTTATGAGAATAACCATTCGAACCCTCAAAGTTCTGTGTGTAAAGCTGAGAACTATGACATGAAAAACAAACCAAAATAATATTTTTTTAAAAACTGAAGAAGTATTGTAGGTTCGTAAATAAACAAATCAACAAAAATGTACGGAAGTAATACTACTTACTCTCTCATACGTAGAAAAGACATTTTTATATTCAAGAATTCATGATAAATTAATTGTATGGTACAGTAAGTAAATAACGTTAACTTGACAATGATTGATTAGAATATAGTTTGATATTTCTATTTGATGATAAATTTGGTGATGTCAGTAATAAAAATCTATTCAAGCAATGAAATTATGAAATAAAAGTTTTACATTTAAACATTAACACCGTTGGATGCTGACTCAATTGTTTAGAGGTTAACGTCCTGGATTCTACTGCTAGCCACCATCCATCTTTGCTTAGAATGCTTGTGAATTAAGACACTATCGAGGCAATCCTCACAGGATGTACACATTTCAATAAGAGACTGATCAATTGCAGTCCTAAACATCAATCGGAAGATATGAACAAACAATACAAAATTAATTAAAACTTCACCCCATTGCACAAATTAGTGCTTATCTGAACTCAGAAGCTAAACGGATAATTCAATGGCGTTTGAAGTGAACGGTACTGGGTTTGAGTCTCGAAGTGAAAATCAACTGTGGGATGCAGGTACATCCAGCCGACGAGTCCCAAATAAGACGAAATGCATGTCCTGCTAGCCACCATCAGTTTCTGCTTATATTTCATAACTTGATGATAGGTATAGAGATAAATAATTTTTCTATGAAGCGTCTCATAAATTAGAATATTTAAGTGTTTGATTAATGAAATTGAAGTTACGTGATAAAGTATTACCAATTTGTGAGTGTAAAACAATGAATAACATGTCGATTCTTTCTTAGTTTTAAAACATTTCTATTGACTGGATTATTCATTCAAATGACTTCACATTAAATGATAAATGAATATTTTAAGTAAGCTTTAATTCATCTGAATGAAATATTAAATAGTATCAATATTATTTAATAATATGTCTTACTAATTATTGATAATCCATGTAAAACTTTGATGCATAATATCATGTTAACCAGTTTATTATTTAAAATCAAGGTACTTTATATTCATTTAAGACTGTTTATCGTTACTTTCTCATTTCATAACTAATATTTAAAATTATTTGATAATAAAATATCTTCATTCACTCATTAAAGGGAATTTATTTCAGAAACTACCTCACTAATGAAATAAATTTTTCATCCTATTTTCTAATTCGTTTCAAAGTATAATACTTACCACTAAACATAAGAATTTGACCTTTTTGATCTCATGTCGGACTATAGCTAAATACTGTTGGATAGTTCTTAAACTATAACTAAATAATTGTACATTGTTCCTAGACGAAACGTTTTCTAACTAATATTAATTCACTAAAAAATATTTGATTATGATAACCAAAAAAAATTCTTCAGAAAATTGTCTAACTTGATAATTTATTCAAATCAATTTACTGATTGTATGGAATTTATTTTCTACCATCATAATATCATGACTTACTATACATTTTTTTTCTTATATATTTAATGCGTAATAAACAGTTATTAAGTAGACAGTGATAGAATGAGATTTCATTTATACATTTTGTTTAAAATACCCTATTTTACTTATCATTTTGTTAATCTATTTATGTCTGTTATTATATTTAGAAATGGACCCAATATTTTTTTTTAGCTGAAGTAACGTAATAAAACAGCATCAAACCAATGAAATAAAAGAATTAGAATTTTATCTCACTTTCCTCTAAATGACTAAAAATCATTTACGAGTATCGAATATGAATTAAATGTTTTACAAAGGTATCTAGCCATATATATATAACTCAGAATTCCTTTTGTCACGAAGTTATTTACCTACAGATACTATACCCTCAAACATTTTACCGCAATAGCTTAAAATTTCTAAACAGTAGCAAATTTACTTTATTTAGAGTGAATTTCTTTTTGAAAAACTAAACTCAGATACCTAAGTAATTGATCAATTTGAAGTTATAAGTGGAAGACATAAACAGGCAGCTGTTATAAATACATTACAATATTTTACATATCTGTCGTTTGTAGAACAACTAGTTACAATTCGTAATGGGAACAATGACATAATAACTTGATTAACAGCAGAGTTTCATTGTTAAGTGTTCAACACTATTAACAATCCTCGGAATGAGCTAGAGTTTTATATATTTTCAAATAAATTTAGCATTGAGATTTATAGTATGAATTACCATAACCTTTTCAGTTTGAACATCTTTCATGAGTAGGGTTTTCATGAAAATCCAATGAAGTCTATGAATAACTTTACAGAGTTTAGTGAGTAAGCAGGAGAAACCATTTTATTTGAAATGCAATTATATACGTTTCGTTTCTTCTGTGTAGATCACAATGGATATTTGTTAGGTGAATAATTTTGAACGCTAACGTTCGGTACAGACAATATAAACTACGCTGCTTTTGCTTCTACAGTGAAACTATTAGAAACTTAAACACATATAAGATTAAACGCAAATAGTGGGTACGCTACACCTAAACAATAACGAAAACTGGAGAAAATAATTTGGAATTTGATACTATAGGAAGTTCTCTATAAGGAACGTGAAAAAAGTTTGGTATTTCTTCAAAAGAATTTTAGCTGAATGAGAAATTTACTATACTGTCTTATGAAGAACCACTGGTAAGGTACAGTTATCAGGATATTGTTTCATAGACTTTACGGTGAAATCCTCTTGTTATTTATTAACAATTGAGTTATTCTTTCCCTTAGTATCAAGCGCTCACGTAATACTAATTTCAGGACAGAAGGAATAGGATTTATTTTCGTTTTTCAATTTATCCAAAACTATTCGACCGGAAAAATTCCCAGTTAGTTTCTATAAGACAAATTAATTTGTTGATTTGAAAATGTCATACAGATTTTGAATTGAAGTCGTTGGCTAATGTGAACGTGTTTGTATCGAGTGGTTATTATCGTGTTGTTGTATATTTTTCACATTACTTTTCGATGATAAATAAATTGTTTAAACATTTCTTTCATAAAAATCGGAAAACTGATTTCGCTTTTTTACGAGATTTGTGTTTTCTAGTTTTGACCTACAAGGATTTATGACAAAAAGTTATGATGATCAACCAATAATCAAATCTGATGGTCTATTTATTGTAAAGGATTTGAAACGCTGATAACCAAATAATTAATGACAATCAAACCAGGTATATAAAGCATCGTCTCGGTCAACAGAATATCCACAAGAAGGGAAACCATAATTGTGGAAAACAGACATTGTAACCATTATTCACAATAATATTATACTAAACAAAATTTATAAGAATTATAAAGTCAGCAATAGGCAATCATTTTTATGATAAGTTTTATGAGTGTGGTAAACTATGGAGGAAAGGATACGATGAGTTCAATCAAGACGGATGTTTGATTATATTTTTCACTATATGGCTTGTACAACCAGGATTGTCAATGTAGTTCAGTTAATTCAAAATTTAAATGCAAGTCACACTTCAATTTATTTATAAGTTCCGTTAGTTATCAACTCCGCCTGTAGCTCTTCTAGAGTTACTGCCGGTCCCAAGCCCGTGTAAAGGAAGAGGGTTGGGCATGGTATCGGCAACCCCATCCCGTAGAAAAAATCTTGCTAAAAGACCGACCAACTCAAACAAATTAAACGATTTAAACTGTGCCCTGGGAGTTGAAGGAAGAATTATAACGCCTCATGGTGAAAGCCGAGATTCTTCGGAAGAAGAATCATAAGGGTTCCTATAGTATGGACTCATTATTTGTGACAATGAAATAATAATAATTATTATTATGATTGGACATCGATATATTCGTCTAACACCAATCGATTCATGATCTCGATCAAAAACGTAATAATCTCCACAACCCCATACTGATGATGTTTTGACTTGAAGTATTATTTTATACGATGCATATTACCACACTATGCACAACAATAAAAGTTGTTGTTTTGTGGATTATACATATACTTTCCTTTAACATATTTTACACTAGTGTGCTTGTAAAAAATGATTTATTATTGTGCTGATTGCACATTTGGCATAATTTCAGTGGGGAAAATCAACCTCCAAAGTTTGGCTGTTTAATGATATAGGTATTTTTATATCGACATACCACAATGTGCCTATATGTATATATGGGATTGATGCGTCATGCTCGGCATAGACACACACTAAGAACACGTGCGAATGTTCGTGTGTGTGTTTATTTGTGTCTTTTATTTCTCACATACTAGAGGTCAAAGCTTACTGATATGTACAGCATTGGACATCAAAACAGACTATGTAAATAGCGTTTGCTGATTGGTTAATACTAGTGGTCAAATTGAAACGGGAAAGAAATAATTCATCTTTATCTGGCACATTACCTTTAAAGGTTAAATAGCATTACTCGAAATATGCTTCATCTTAAGTGTTATGTTATGATGTAACGTACCTTCTCCATCATAGTGTTCGAATGAGAATCTTCATGTAGACTGACTACTTTAATAAACTACTTTTCAGTGTATCAAATTCACCACTTAACAACTATGTTAAATTTACAATTATTGTATTTACTTTTTTTCTTTACAAGTTATACATTATCGTCATCTTACAAAGAGAATAAAATTGTTCAGGATTTATTATTATATCCACCGGATTCAGCCAGACTATATACACACATTAATCGTGGAAGTTATTTTGGTTATTCTGTAGCAACATACATTGGACAGTCACAACCATCATGTTTAGTTGGCGCACCGAAAGCAAGTCATAGTGGTAGTAGTAATAGTATAAATGAATCAACTGGAGTTGTATATCGCCTTGATATGGATCTTACATTTCCATTTTGTTCAGTTGTACCAATTGCAACTACTGATGAATTAAGAAAAGAAGTTGGTACACCAACACCCGGAGGTAAGAATTATTAGCGTAAAAATGATTGTTCATATTCCATTCAACAGTTTATAACAGTTCATTTTATTATAGCTTGCAATTATAGATAAATAGCACTATTAATGATTCAGCATTAGAAATATACATATTTTTTTCCACAATAGCGAATAGTCACAGTTTTGAATATTGATTATCTCTACGATTAAATATCCATTGTTATTGTATGTTTGTGAGTGTTCACAATGATGAATCAAAGTAAATACCCAAACACTAAGTATTTATTCCTCTTTTGTCAGCCCAATCACAATACCATGACAATAAAACTAGGCCAACGTGAACCGTATAAAATTGCTTGAACTGAAATTCTTCACTTAAAAAACGAAATTGAAGTATATTTCGATTATTATTGTTTTCTTAGTCTAACATTTTTAGATTTATTTTGCATACTGCTCAGTATTGATATTGATAAAAATAAGACTGAAGAATGTCCAAACTGAACAATGACTTGACTTTAGTTGTATAATTCGTTTATCATCTATATTTATTGGTATAATCAAAACCTTTAACTTGGACAATGTGTTTTTTGACCAAATTGTTCTCTGTTACTGATACGTAATCCAAATGATTGCGCAATACCCGATTCGTCTTTTACATCCATATCTTCAACTGTTCTTGAGCCAACGTGGTTAATATTTTCAAAGATGGTTAGTTAATAATTATTGTCCATTTATGATCAACCGTACTTAGTTTCTGACTCACCCTTGGATTAATTAGCGGTAATATTGATTTAGTTAATCCTTCGATTTTGATATGCATAAATAATGATAAAATCATTACTAATCCCAGTTCCGTGATTAACATATAAAGTTGCTAAACTTTTCCATTGATTATGGTCAGGTTTGGTACAAAAAAATAAACTTTGCTTGGACTGATAATAAATACATTTCTAAAAAAACATTGATTTCAATACTTCGAAGTAATAATTATAAATTTCCAAATACATCAATAGACAGTGTATTTATGTAGTTTACACTTAGACTGTCGGTATGGAGTTGTGGAGGTTGTTGACCTGTAGTGAAATCACGAAGCGATCTAAATTAAACGAACACTGAAGACCTGGAACCACTGTATGGCCTGCTCGTCCTTATATAGAATTCTTTATCAAAGCGCATTTGGCAATCAATCCCTGAATATTTGGTCATGCGCACGAATGCTTAATTTCTAGACCACTGAACTGCTATCCAGTGGTGTAAAAGCTAACCCCCACCGATCCACGATATTGCACGAACGTCTTCCATGGTGTTTTATAGGTAACTTCCTCACACCCGACGCAGCTGAATTCAACTGATCACCGTTTCTTACAAGAACTCCAGGAATTTTCTCCAGAGTTTGTCACTGGAAAACAGATGATAATTGTCAGTGTAGAGTAATAGGGGCTGTTGAATTTTATTAAAATCACGAGTCGATTTATAGTAATAGCTATTTTATTATAAAAAGTAACCCACAGAGGTCTCTGACAATAAGTTCTATTCGTGCTAATAATTATTAATTTTGCCGTGTGGGATTTGGACTAATATTTCATAATACTAACAGTATATATTCTGAAAGGTCTGAGGTTTTTTGTTAAATTTGCGGTGACGATCGTTTTGGCACAACAAATCATTTATATAGACAACAGATGCAAATTAAAGTCTTGCTTATTGTCAGATATTTTGAAAGGATATGTCCTAATTAGGGAAATATATCCACTTTCTTGATTTGTAACGGTTAAGAGATCTTGTATTAGTGACAGTTTACATATTTTAGTAGATAAAATTTGTAGGCCGCCAACTGGAGTTATACGTAGCTAGGTCCTTTTATTTTAGACAGTTTGGTGGGGTTTTCATTCAGATTTATCGAATCGGTGAATTCTTTTTTCAGGCAATGTAATTTAGGTACATGTGTTTAGATAAGCTGTTTATACTACTTGAGTAAGTTGGTATTTATGAAAAATATGCTATTTCAAGTTTATGCGTTCATCAAGTTCGTGATGCAAAAAGTGATAGATGAGACATTAGTTATACGAACGAGACATCTACAAACTAAATCAATACACAGATTTTTAGTAAAATTCAGCACTTTTAATGATAACACATTCCTCATCTAAATTTCCAGGGGTCGAACTTCTACCAGGAGGTTCACTTGTTGACTTAGAATATGCCGATGACATAGTTCTATTTGGTGAAGACGCTGACAAAGTGCAGAGTCTTCTGACCACTCTAAGCAACAATGCAAGAATATTCGGGATTTGATTCTCTCCCTCGAAATGTAAAATGTTGCTTCAGGATTGGGTTGCATCGACACCCGAACTAATGATAGGGAGTGAATTGGTTGAGCGTGTAGACCGCTTCATTTATCTTGGGATTCTCACCAGTCTTTGTGGTCTGGTGTGTAACGAAATCTCAGCACGAATACAGAAGGCTCGACTAGCTTTTGCTAACTTGCGTCATTTATGGCGTATGCGAGATATCCGTCTATCAACCAAAGGACGGGTTTACTGCTCAGCAGTTCGTTCCGTACTTTATGGCAGTGAGAAATGGCCGGTAAGAGTAGAGGATATTCGTAGACTACTAGTATTTGATCATAGGTGTCTTCGAAATATTGCTCGTATATCCTGGGACCATCGAGTAAGTAATGCAGTTGTTAGGAAACGGGTACTAGGTAAGGATGGCAAATCAATTGATGAAATGGCTGGGACACGTGTTACGTATGCCCAACAACCGACTGCCTCTACGTGCGATTTTCAATGGTATAGGAGTAGGTTGGAAGAAAGCTAGGGGCGTCCAGACCAAAACATGGCACAAGTCCATGAAGTCACTGACAAGTGGAATGAGTCATGTTGGTAAGTGTAGATTACCTGGTTGGGGACCGCGAGATGATAGCGACCGATGGTTAGAGAGCCTGAATGACATGGCTCAAAATCATTTGCAATGGCGCAGGTGCATCCACTCTTTGTGTTCACCCATATTCTAATCTGAATTCTTCATGTCCCTTTTTTCCTCTTTCCAAATTTATTTCACTGGATTATATTCCTTGAATAACATCTTCAAACCCTAATTTTTCTGATTACAGCTTATAATTTTACTACATCTAGCACTACGGGATTTGAATCGACCACGGCATCTCTGTGCTAATGTGGTGTGGCAACTCGAACTGATGTACGTAAGTACGAGGTTCTACGTTGTCACTGACTGACGTTTAATGATAATCATTGATGTTTTCCATTTTTTATGTGTTTCACTATTCTCTGCTGAATATGTATGGTTTGACTTGGTTACTTGCAAATAATTATTGCATCCCCATTGACTTAATCCAAAATAACTCAACATATCATTTCAAGACACGATAGATGTATGATCTTGAGTATGAGTTCATTCCACATCTGACAAATGAAATTTATGTACAGCATAAAATAACCCGTCATTTATAACAGGAAAGGCAATAAATATTATGTAGCATTTATATATATATATATATATATATATATATATATATATATATATATATATATATATATATATATATATATATATATATATATATATATATATATATGTATCAGAATCATTTCTTGTTACGGAAAAGAAAGATAATTCAACTGTGACATAAATTATACCATGCATCGAATTATTCAGAAATGTAATCTTTCAATAAATTTATAATATAACTATTTTTGTTTAACATTTATCCTACATAAGGAAATCACTTCTATCAGTTACAATAAAAACGTTGTGAAATAAGATGTTAAAATTAGAAAGTAATCAATTGTGAAGTTAATTATTTTCCCAGATTTCATGTCATACGTTTTACAAAATTTACACTAGACCTTAATCGTACCAATATTGAGGCCAATCAAATCTTATTTTATTTACGCTGATATGGAAATGTACACAGTTGGAAGTGGTATAGAAAAGTTTAATCACTTTTTTGTTCGTTTCTCATGATTTGAATACTGACGCCATATTCAGAAGATGAAGTTGTAATAATGTGGACAGAATTTGTTCTTGACCAACTTTTGACATTTAAACATAGTCTAACTTAATTTTTTTTGTTATATTCCTGAACTACATTCATTCATTATATATCAAAATTGTCTTGATGAAAGACATTTGAAAACTGTTTCATTAAATGTATTTAGTACATACTATTATAATGGAATAAGTAGCTGACTACTATTTGTACACTAGTTAACAAAGCTCGTGTTGTTATGTAAGACTGATCAAATACACTTTGTATCCAGTCGAAATTACAGTGTCTAACAAAAAAAGATGTTATATTCTTTGAAAAAATAATACGTATATAGCAATGGAATAGATTATTGAACTAATTGATAATTGGATTGCTTAAAATCAAAATAAATTTTGGTTGAAAATAAATGTTTTCTACTACGAGCATGCATGTTTAACATAATATTTTAATAATTGCTAGGTAATATATATTGTTTGTTTTTCCTTTACTAATTTAACTCAAATGTGTATGATAAGTATTTATCTTTACAGGTAAGTATATTGTACCCCGTTTTTGTTATCTCATAACATTTTTCACATTAAGATCCAAAGAAATAAATTAACATATTAACTTTACTGATTTCGTATTCATTCATTAAGTGTTACAACACTGTCCCGAAGTAGATGAAACCTGTATTCTGATTTTAAGGAAGTTATAGAGTATAGAATGAGTATTGACTACGGTGAAGTTCACCTAGACGCGTTGTGATAATATATAATTAAATAACTATAATTTTTTTGAGAGCAGATTGCTAATTAATGGTTCAAATTGTTTTAATCTCAATATAAAGTTGTGTAATTTGTTAGATACAGTCATGCAAGTTTATCTCATGTTCCCATCATATTATCTACAAGAGTGTTTTTAAATTGATTAGTAACGTTCAAATGTATGCTAACAGTTAGCTAATTCTAAATTTTTCAGATACATTATCAGCATTATTATTACTTTTGTCATATCCAACTTGAAAAACCGAT